ACACTCTAGAGTCTGCTAACTGCTAGAGGGCTTTGAAGAAAGGTGATCAGGTACTGGCCGTGCTGGCATGAGCCATTTGAAGAGCCTGACAGGAAATAACTCGTGGCTTCAGTCTCAGTTGCTGAGGGACATGCTCAAGTGGAAGACACTCAACAGGTTTATATGACACATTCCTCCAACACTCCGCGTTCCCAAGCAATAAAATACTCCCCAGTGAGGCTCTTTCTGGATGCTCACCAATGGTGGCGTCGGGTGCCTTTATGAATTAGATTTCAGATACACAAAATTTCACAGACACAGTCTGGAAACTGTGAGGACAGTGGTTGATACGCAGAAGACCTAGGCAGGGTCCTTTTCTCCTCTGTGAACACTGACCATGACCCCTCTAAAAACTTGAGACTCTGTCTCCTCCCAAGTTCAAACCTTCTTTGCTCTCTCTTTTACCTCTTTTGCAAACTGTCTACTCCGTGATCTGGACAAATGCGCCTGTTAATGAAATTCACCTCTTGCCATGGCCACCTCATAGGTATGATATCTGTGCAGTCATTCCAGGCCCGGCACGTAGGAGGGCTTTTGGCTTAGTTTACTGCTTGCTCACAAACTTAAGAGATATTTCAACAAGGGACTGTGTTTTAATTTGCCCAGGGTCATACCAATCCCATAGCCAGTCTTGCTCCTTGCTGTGGACAGTGGACTAAGGAGACTTAGGTTATACAAGATAAAAAGGGGTGATACTCCTTTCCTAAGTCTACAAGAATGGGAGCGAGAGCGCTCCTCATGTTGTATGTTATAAAGAACACGCACCTAGGCGAAGGCCTTGGGAGCACTGGAACACTCATCTATACGAATGAGCCCTAGGAGAGACAGCGGGGCTTGCACACCGGAGTTTAGAGGTAGCTTAGAAATCAAATCAAGCTCATTGATTAAAAGATAGTCTACCGCTTTCTTCCAGGCTGTTTCCTCATCCCACATAGTCACGATTCAAGAACGCCAAGACTAATGTTGTAAGGTCGTCTTGATTGTTAAATAGTTTAATTATTATAAAATATTTAGTTAACTGCTTGGCATCTAATAGGAGCTCAAAGTGAATTACAGTTCTTAGTTTGGTTATCTTAGTTTTGGGTTTCATACTCAAACCACAGCTTGCTTATGGCTGGGCTTTGAAGAGTGACGTGAAACTGTTCTAATAAGCTGACTGCTGCCTGTATTTCCAATGGCTTACTACATGTAAATTCCTTCTGTATAAAAATAATTTCATAAAAGAATTTGAGGATTATTTCCCATTTTTTGCTAGACTATCAATTTCTTTCCTTTTATTTTACAGAACCCTGGCTCTTCTGGAACTCATATACCAGGCAGGCTTCAAACTCACAGAGACCCGCCTGCCTTTGCCTCCCCAGTGTGGGATTAAAGGCGTGCACTGCCATCCCTGGCTAGAGTATGCATTTCTTAAAGGCAGCGACCATGTCTCACTCACACCTGAGTGATTTCTAACAGATTAGAATTTCAGTAGAGTTAAAACTTTGCATCCTTTATACCGACAGAGATGGCAATTTTCATAACATTGCTAAGTCAGGAACAAAGAGTTAACGTGTCAATAACTAGGTGGTAAAAGGGGCCTAACTTAGCTGAGGTACCACCTCATACCACCACCTCCTTTTCTCCCATTAAGGAAGTTATCCCCCTGGAGAGAACACTTGACTTTTTAAAACTACTGCTTCCCCTGGCAACAGCCAGCATAACAAGATCACCGGGGGAAGAATTAAGAAACCCCAATAATTGAGTCATAATTTGATGCCTCTTAGGATTCACAGGCCTTGGAATGCCACACACACACAGACACAGACACACACAGACACACACACAGACACACACAGACACAAAGACACAGACACACACACACACTATTTTTGGTACAACTTCATGTTCTCAGAACCGCTGTGGCCTTTGGAGCCCTGGGTTGAGAATTAACTAGAACAGCCCCCAAGCAGACCAGCAATGTGCAAGTTCAGGTTTCCTCGGTAAGTCCAGCCCTGACTAGCCCGCTCATGTTGAAAACAAAACAAAACAAACAGACCAATTACAATTCCCTATATTTAGCCTCAAGGTTATCCCAGAGGGGCCAGTCTTAGGCTTTAATGCTAAAGGCTTACAGCCAAGCAGCAACCACTCTCTGAAGAACTCAAGTTCAGCCCAGTAAAAAGAAGCTTTGTTTGATAATATCGTTTACATTCGCAAATCCTGGGTATCAGGCTTTTTTTCTATCCCTTGTGGCCCTTCCTAAGTTTAGCTGCTGGTGTAATGGGAGTAACCATGGCAACAACCACCTGCCTATTTAAAACCATTCCCAATGCTAAATAAGGAAGCCTGGAGAAGGAGAAAATGGCTGCTTGCCTGCCTCTGGGTGGACAAATTGAATACTCCTGGGTGTTTAGAATACAGGCAAGCAAGGAAGAAGGAAGCAGCATGGACCCAAAGTTCCCCAGAGGAAATGGCTAGCAACTTTGTAAAACAGGGGCTCCCTCTGAACAACTTCATTCCTCCAGCAAGTACACAGGCTTAAATTCAAATCCATAAGCCTGTCATCTCTGCCAGGTAAAACATGAGGCCAAGTTGTGGAAAACATTCTGGATTTCTTTAACCTGGGCGGGGCATCTTTGTCCCTGGGAAATCCTCTATGCCCAGCTCTCTGCTCTTGCCTTTGGGTTCTCTTAGGCCACCTCTCCGTGCACACAGGTATGCGTGCTTGCTTTCCAGCCAGTTTCCAGCAGGGGGCGGTGAGCGATGGGCCGTCTGCTCCAGACCCCTAGATACATGGTGTGTGGGCAGCAGTATATCTTCAAAGGACGTTGTTAGTGAGTGAGTCAGTGAAAGAATGGATGAGTGGATGAGCAGAAGCCATGGCTTCCACAGGCGTACGGCATTTTCCAGACACATCCATGGAGTACTTGTATGCGTGTAAAGTCTGTGTGTAAAGAAGACCTTGAAAGTCTGTAGGACAGGCAGGAGTGATTTTCAAAAGCTGTCTCGAGGCTGCCATTCTGCTGGGATGAGCATCTACCTTTCTGGGAGAAGAGAGGGGATGGGTTTGATTCTTTTTGGAAAGGAAGAACAAGAGGATGAGGATGAGACCGATACAATGTATGTGGGAAAGAAGAGGCGGTCTCCTGCCGAGGTCCAAATCAGAGTCCTCTTCTGAAGGGGCCACAGCACACCTCCCTACAGCCCAAGAGGGGCCATCCGTTCACGAATGACTGCCACATCTACACAGAAAGACGACACTCGGCCCAGGTCAGGTCTGAAACGAATCAGTAACCATGACAATATGCCAGCCCGGGTCCTTAGACACAGGGAAATGCGGAGAGGTGGACCGACAACATCTTAGAACGTCAAGAAACAAATGAGCTGAGACAGAAGTTTGGTCCTGTGTGACCAGATCCCCGAGTTGGAACACAATGAAAAGCCCCCAAAGTAGTTATCCTCAAAAAAGTCACCCACCACCTACATCCTGTCCGACCCAGAAGTGGAGCTCGGGGCCACCTCTGAAAAAGACTTGAAGGATAAGAGAAGCTTAAAAATGGGCATGTAAACTGACCTAGCGTGAGGAATCTGGACTCTCGGAAATTCGCAGCCTCGCTGAGGGAGATAAAGGATCCCTCTGGCACCAGCCCCTTACACCTGAGCCTACTCCACAGGCAGGTTCAGAGCGCCATCTCTGCCTAGGGCCAGGTCTGGTCAGTTTCAGCCACAATAGCAACGACTACAAGCTTTGGGCATAACAGAACTTGGGTTTTGTGCCTGGCATCTTTTCTTCTCCTCAATAGATTTGTATTTGGGTTAAAAAAAATCTTAAAGTTTGCCCACTTTTCCAGTGTAAATAGGACTCTTAAATGTACATAGTTTAATAAAATACATATAGAAGTTTAAGAATAGTGATTGTGTCCTTGAACAGGGGTGACGAAGGCTGAGGGAAGGGGTGGCATTGCCAGTTTGTGACCGGGGCTGGGAGCACATGTCTGTACTGAGCTGTGGACCTTGGGTTTAAGTGAGACAGAATGCAACCTTGAAGAAGTTCCGCTGCTGTCTGGTTCCCAGTTTGACATTACTTCGTTGTGTCCAGACTCTCCCTGGTGAAGCTCCCAGGCTGTAGAGCCAGGAGCTAGGCTGTAAGTGGATGTCCTCAAGTAACACTCTTAGTTTCTGCTTTGAGTAGAATTCTGTGGGCTAAATACATGGCCATCCCTTTATGTTCAAAGATCAAGTCCAAATTATTAGCCCCCCTGTTCCCCATATGCCTGAGGCTAGGCCTGGAATCCAATCATGATCTTGAAATAGTACAATAGAGGATGGAGTTGGATGGGCTTTGCCAGGAAGAGAGAGAAAAGAGAAGTGGTCAACTCCGCGGTGATTATATGCCAGTCACATCTTGGTTCTGGTAAATTCGCTTTGCAAGACAGGTTTGGGTTCGCTTGCAACTCATCTGGTTTTCCCTTTTCTTTCATGTTTGAACCTAATCTCCAGGCACGCCAGCGCCCATGCGAGGCCACCGGGTGCCCTTCGGGGTTACTGCCTCGTTGCTGCCCTCTGCTGTCCGGGAGGGAGGCTGTCACCTCCCCGGATCTGAGACCCTAGGAGAACCCTTTTCTCCCCAAGCTCGGGCTGCTGCGGGAAGCTGGGCTTTGGGGGAAAACCTCTGAGTCCCTGGTGGGGTTCCAGGTGGCCAAGGGCATGCTCCTTGCCACCCATGCCGTCCCCAGACGCCCCCCCCCCTGCTCCGTTCCTAGGGGAGGGGATTGGCAGCCAGGCCGCGGCAGGTTTCTGACTTTTTTTTTCTTCTTCTTCTTAGGAATGGAAACCCTTCTTCCGGCAACGTGGCAGCAAAGCTAAGTCCCCGGGCGACCCAGGCCAAGGACATTTCCGTGGTAGCAGGTGGGAGGCCGCGCTGGCTGGCAGTGCCGGGCGGGCGGGGTGCCACTGCAGCAGCTAGCAAGCTCGCTTACCTGCTGTTGAATTTTTCAGGGTGTTTCTCTCTCATCATGTGGAATCTATGGGCAATGGAAGCATCCTGGAAACAAAAGAAAAAAAGGCAGAATCCTAGTTAGTGGTTGTAGCCACGAGGTATGATGGGAAGGGACACATATAGGCTCCTGGAATGGCCAAATTCTGGAGACTTCCAGGTCTTAGGGGCTCAGCACCACGGTTCAAGGGGAAGCTAGTGCCACCCCTCAGTTCTTTCAGAGCCTAGCTTCGTTGCCTCAGGGCCCAGTCAATTATCTCTGTACCTCAGGCCCTGCAAGCAGCCACAGTTCAGCCTGAGACCCTAGCTCTTTGGAGACCGAGGCAAGAGCAGACTCTGGAGTGAAGGGACAGCCACCCCTTCTAGGACAGTGAGGGGCTCTGCTCAGGGGAAGCCAGGAGCCCATGGCACAGAATCGGGAATGTTTCTACTCATGAGAAGAAGTTAACAAAAATAGTACGTTTCTCATGTTCCATTCAACCAGCTTCCAGCAATGATAACATCTTACATAACACAGCACCTGTCAAAATCTCAAGCTGATGTTGCTGGAGGCCATTATGTATTAACCCTTTGCTGTCTATGTCTCAAGTTTAGCTGATAATAAAAGTGTATTATATTAAACTTCTAGCTTCTTCTTGTTAGTCATTCTGGTTCCGAAGCCATAGATTCAATCCCTTCCTTACACTTCCCTGTCCTCCCTTTCCCTTTGGCTACAGGCCTGGTTTCCTGTACCTCAGAACCCACCATGAGGCTCCGTCCACACTGTTTCTGGGTGTCTCGTGTTCAGTTTGGAACCTCTAGCCCTGAGGTTCTGCTCCCGGCACAGCCATCTGTTAGTGCTTATGCTTGTGACTGGGGTTTAGATGCTGGGGGCTCCATGGTCTATAGTCCAGAGCAGGACCCAAAACTGAACTCAATTCTTCAAACCTAGCCTTCCACACTTCTTACCAAGGCCATTTCCAGCAGAAGAGTATGATCAACCCTCCCCTTATCACCCAGTCCCCACCTAAGACTGTGGGGGCAGATACTGAATACTGGAAATAAATTGGCTGGGTTGGAGAGGGTACAGTCCAGCAACAGTGAGCTGATTTAGATTTGCTTAGCAGCAACGGCGAGACACAGAAATCTCTGGGCATGGTGGTACACCCCTGTAGGCTGAGCATGTGGGAGACCAAGGTAGAAGATCAAGGCTAGCCTGGACTACAAGGTTGGGACTGTATCGCAAAAAACCAAAGCAGCCCACCAAACATCCGACCAACCAAAACCCAATAAGTAACCAAAAATACATCTACTAGACTATGTGTCTAGAAGAGTCTTAAAATTCCATGGAGCAGATTTTTAGCTAATGTTTATTCATTTATTCTCTCTCTCTTTCTTTCCTCCCTCCCTCCTTTCCTCTCTCTCCCCCTCTCTCCTTTTCTTCGTTCGTTCGTTCCTTCCTTCCTCATCACCACCACTCCCTTTGTCTTTCTGAGTCGGGCTCTTACCATGTGGTTCTGGTTGGCCTGGAACTCACTATATAGACCCTGTTGAGCTCAAACTCAAACTCAGAGAGATCCTCCTGCCTCTGTCTCCCTTGCACTGGGGTTAAAGGTATGTGCCATCACGCTAGGAAGATCCTGCTTCCTGGTAAAAGTACAACAGAGCAGTTTCCAGCGCTGACTTCACCTTGTTTTTAGCATCAGGAGAGACAAGTGCAGTCTCACTGAAGAAGCTTTTGGGGGGCATGCTATGTTATCACTAGGGACAAGAGTGACCTCATCCAGCAGTCACTGTGTGAAATCTGGGGGTACAGGTCTAGAACATGGGACAACATTTCTTGGGAGTTTAATGGTTGATTTTTGCTACTGACTTATTCTTGTAGTTTTTAGACTCATCAAGAGCTGAAGGTCTGGGTCATCTTGTGGACACATGCTGGGAGGTGTCAAACTCAGGGAGGACCTCTTCTACTGGGACCCGCACAGCCTACTCAGCCTCTCTGGACAGCAGGTCTTCCTAGCTCAGATATTGGCCACTTCCCTGTTTGTCTCTAAGCAGGCTCTGTGGACACTCCTGATAAGATGTGACATTTGCTGAAGGATTTCCTAGAATCCCAGAAAGCATTCTGTGTTCCTGTGAAGGACTGGTTTTTCACCTGTCAGAAACAAAACAACTGCCAGGTAATGGTAGAGCACATCTATAATCCTAGCACCTGGGAAGCAGAGACAGGCAGATATCTGTGAGTTCGAGGCCAGCCTGGTCTACAGAGTCAGTTCGAAGGACAGGCTCCAAAGCTACACAGTGAAACCCTTTCTCAAACAAAACAAAACAAAACAAATCAAATAAACAAACAAGAAACAAAACAATCTCCCAAACAAAAACAAACAAAGGGACGACGACAACAACAAACCCAAAGCAAACATTCACATATTGTGTGGCATGGTTTGCACACCACTGCCATTACTCCCGGCACAGCTGGAACTGGCTCCTGGTTTTAATTCCTGGGATATTTGCAGATACTCTTCTCTCTGTTCTTATCACCGAAACGTGTCTTTCTCTGTCCATCCAGTCCCAAATAATGACATAGAAACTTCTTATTAATTATGAAAGCTCAGTCTATAGCTTAGGTTTGTTCCTAACTAGCTCTTATAATTTAAATGAACACATTTTATTAATTTTACTATGTAGATTACCTTTTACTTTTCTTTCATTCTGTTTGTCTGACTCCCTCTTGTGTCTTGTTGGCATCTCCTCTGCACCTCGATTATCTCTTCCCACTTCCCCTCTCTGCCTGGAAGTCCCGCCTACACCTCCTGCTTAGCTATTGGCTCTTTAGCTCTTTCTGAAACCAGTCACAACAGTATACAAATATCCCACAGCATATTGCCCTTGGTTTTTCCATTACTAAATTTTGTGTGGCTTCTTATTCCAAAGGCCAGCATTTACAATATCATTAGCTCAGCCCACGACTCCTAATCTGACAGTGTAATCTCTTGACAAATATACGAAACAGCAATGGAGAGCTAAGCTGTCTCCCGAAAGACAGTGTAAAGATTCCAGGGGAAGGAGGGCATAGAGAGACTCGAGACTGGCGTTTACTCTGTTGAAGGCCTCCATGCTGAGCACTGACCATGGCATGTGACATATTTATATTATGGGTTCAGACACTTTCTTGATGACAATTATAGCAAAATCACACTTCCATTCTAGAGAGAGTGACGGGAATTGCAGGCCAGTGGAAGCCATGGTATTTCTGACAGTCGCCAGTCAGCGTGTGTTCTGTGTGGCGTGGGTGGAAGAAGAGATGAAGTATGGACAAGGGCTATTCCTTCTGCAGCCAAAACCTCAAACATATGGTTGGATGAAGGATTTTGGCTCTCTCTCAAACATAAATTGCTATCGTTTGGACTCTGATACATTGGAATGTCTAAGCCAGGTGCTGTTCAATAGAAATATAACATGTTTGTGACTTAAAAATTTCTAGAAGCCACACATAAAAGTAAAAAGGAACAGATGAAATTAACTTATGAATGTTTTAACTAATCCAATATACCTATTCTAAATTCTATCATTTCTATATATGACAAATAAATATTGATATATTTAATTTTTCTTCATATCTCAATTCTTCTGAAATATGTGTTTTTTTTTTTAACATTCACACACACCTTAAATTAGGCATTTCAGGCCCATAGTAGCCACGTGTGCCTTGTGTTTGCCATCCTGGACAGTGCAGACCTAAGTCACACTGGCAACTTCTGGAGACAGAGACGGGAAAGAGACCACAGAGCGGATTACTTGAAGTTTGGATTGTTTTTAAAATCTATGGCAGATTAGGGAGTGGAAAAGATGTGTCCAGCTTATCCAAGTCATTTCTCAGTCAGTCGCACATGTGACAGATTAGAACTCAGCGCTGACAGAATCCAAGTTTGCACGCGTCTGTCTTGTGGACACCCTCCCCAGTGGGTAGGAGGCTTGTCACTGTGGGACATGAGGCAGGTAAACACTAGTAGCAGTCTATAAGGTAGAAAATGGCGTATGGGCTGGTGGCTCTCTGGCATCCAAAATAGACTTCACTGAGTCAAGGGATTAGCTGCTCACCACTCTGGGAAGGCTCACTGAAAGCAGAGCCTGGGAGGAGTTCCGAGTTACACAAGATCCAGGAATTATTTCGTAGTCCCTAACTTCCTGTCACTGATACCTGGCCATCCTGACCTTTCAGCTAATCCAAAAATAGCGAACAGGGAGGAAGAGGCCGGAGAATCCAGAGGAAGTAATGTCCTGGATGACTGTGTTTAAGACCTCTTCCCAGGGGATGTCTGCGGCTAGAAGGATGATAAAACCAAAGAGCAAAATCTTCATTGATTTGGGCTCGTGTGCAGCTGTATGGAGTCACAGTGACTCCCAGGGCAGGCCAGGAGACTCTGCCTTACTCAACCCTCTGTCTAGTAAATGTGTTCTGTTTGCACCGGGGGCACTGCGTGGTGCCACAACTATTGTCTTTATAGTGGCAAGGCAGCCGCCATTTGCTCGGTGGGCATCACAAGTCCTTCCGAGAGGCAAAGACATTGCAGGAATCTCTTTGCCAGGGGAGTCGGACTCTATGTAAGCATCCTAAGGAGGTGGAACCTGCTTGGTTTACATACCCACTTCTCTCACAAAGTTTGGGAAGTCAAATAGGAAGCAAGACCTTCTGCAAATGTCAGCCCCAGGCTCAGCCAGGGTTGCACATTACATATTTTCTCAGGATTTTCGCCTTCCCGCTTTTAAAGAGCGAGAACACATGCCCTGCAAACATTCTCTCAAGAGAAAAGCTCAGGGCACACCAATGAGATAAAAAGTCCCATCTCCTCGCTCATCCACAATATGACAATAAATATGCACAAGCGAAAGGTATATGAAAAGAACCATGAAAAAGGTATCCTTGGAATTGTGTAGGTCACGTGGGCAAACATGGTGGCTGTTGAAGGTGATGGTTTTCTGTTTGTGCTTCCTTGGAGAGCAATTAGCCTCCTTCCTTCCTACCCCTCCTTCCCAACTTCCTCCCCTTTTCTCCCACTGCTCGCCTTCCTCCTGAAAGAATGCATTAAAACCATGATTCCTGGCTCTTACATTTACTGCCTGGGTATCTAGTGGAGGGCAGGGTGTCTACAGACAATTGTGTTGTCTTGGGGACTGTGTTCCTTCCAGCCAGAGCTTTATTAAGAACGGGAAGGTGTGTTGAAGGTTCTGAAGGTAGCCTTGCTTGTAACGTGCCAACGGGAAGATCCTGGGAAGCCTAACCCACCCCGCTGCTCAGCAATCAGTTCCGGCTGGCTGCTTTTATGGTGCCAGTGTTCCCTCGTCTCTCAAGCCCCTCTCTTTCAATTCTAATGTCTTTGTGCCAAATCCAGTTCCTCTGTGCAATCTGCTCAGGGCTGTCCGGGCTCTCTGAGGCCTTGGTCAGGATCAGCAGCATTAGAATGCTTCCAGGGTTTTGTTCAAAATGCAGAATCACAGACCTTGCTGAGAGCCTCAGCGTCAAATGAGAAGTCAGAATCTGGTGCGGATTTCCACTAAAAAAAGGGGGTGCCGCGGAGCCATCTCCCACTGGGTTTGGAGACCTTCCCTCACTCCTATGGCTTGTAGCCCTGTGAAGATGGAGGGGGCTGGGCAGAGGCCACAGCTAAGGGGGCTCAAGAGCACGATATGCTGATCCTCAGCTTTGCTGCCCTCCGGCTTGGACTCACACAGGTGCAACTACCACATTTGGGCAATAAGATAATCGGGCTGGGTGTACCACAGGCACCCAATAAACACCAAGTTACATGATGGTCATGGCAGGGAAAAGACGTGAGGTTTGGTAAAGCTAATGGTGGGATCCCCATACTCTGGAGCCCGACAGAGGCATGGGTACCTGGCTGTCTTGAGCTGAAAATATCTGGGCACAGGAGGAGAGGGACCTGAGTATAAGAAAGGTGTGTGTGTTTGTGTGTGTGCACCTTCCCTGAAGGTGGCCCCAAAAGAGGGCTTAAGACAGTGTCCCTCTACCAGAAGTGGAAAATCTGGGGGAGGGGGAGGGGCATAAGGTAGTGAGGAAGCAGGAACCCCTAGCGCAGCACCTCCACATTCACGGCGCCTTATCCTGGACCCACAGTGCCTTGCCTGCCTCAGTCATAGTGAAGAAGGCTGGAGTAGGAGTGAGAAGGTGAAGGCAAAGCCTTCATTCAAGCCTGTTCCTTTTCTCAGAGAACAGAAGACACAGTGTTCTTCTGTGCATCAGTAGAATAAAAACAAACAACAAAGAAAGAACACTGCAAACGTGGCTGCTCTTCGATCCTGTCGTAACTGTGAGCGAGGATTATTATTTTTTAGTTTCAAAAGAGGCACAGGAAAAAGGGGGGTGGGTAACCCTCCGTCTGGTGCCAGCCGGTGGCCTGAGGGGTCTCATATGCACCTGATATTGTTCAGAACAATCCCAAAGACAGGGAGACAGGAAGGAAGGATGCTTAGACCCAAGACTGATGGGAGATGGAGTGGGGGGGAGGATGGGGGTGGTAAGGGAGTAGATCCTTGGTCTATCTCTTTGAGAGTCCTAAGCCTTTCTGTGCAGTCAGAGTGATGCTTACGGAGTGTGTGAAGACTGGAATGAACAAGTCTGCTCTGGGAGAGAGCATGCAGCAGGGGTCCAGTAAAGCTGTTCTCCTTTCTGTACCACCACCCCAAGCCCCAGCTCAGTTTGAGGACACTCCAGCTGGGGGGCTGGAGAGGTAGCTCAGTGGTAAGAGCACTGGGTATTATCCCAGGGGTCCTGACTTCACCCCCTAGCACCTACATGCTGCACACACCCATCTGTAACTGGTTTTAGAGGATCTGGTGCCCTCTTCTGCCCTCTGGTACAGATATACATGTAGACAAAATATCCATATACATAAAATACTTTAAAAAAAAAAAAGACTACGCTCATCCTATGTCCCCAACAGCCTAGGAAGCAGTGCCTGCTCTGATTTAGAAGCTGACTTCAGTATGACAAACTGAGTTATACTAGCTGGGCTGGGGCCAGAGGATAGAAAGGGAACACAGACATCATTGTCTGTCTGTCTGTCCATCTGTGTGTGTGTGTGTGTATAAGAGTGTGTGTACACATGTGTGCATATGTGTCTGTATTTGTGCATGCAAGAAAACACTTGCATCTGGGAGGAAGGTGACACAGGCACCCTAAAGCCGTCCCTCCAGTCTAATGCAGGGAGGACGCTGATGGGCTGCGATGAGGGCTGTAGAAGCATCGTGGAGGAACAATGGCCTTGGCCTGAGCATCAGCGGGAGGAGAACTTTCCTAGGGGTGTATGAAGCACTTGGAGAATATGTGGTAGGTGTGTGAGCAGAAGGCAAGGAGTCCGAGTGTCGTCTACCAAGCCTGGTGGCAGCATGTGGTCCCTTCTCAGGATCAGATGCTCCTCACACTCTCGAAAGGGGCTTCCTTGGCCTCATTCCTTGGCATTTGTTTCTTTTAATTGTTTCATATTATCTGAAGAATAGTTACATTTTAAGAAAAATCCCAGTCTTTTATTCTGTTAAAAGTACAAGGGTAAGAATTTCTTCTACAGCCAAGGGGTAGAATGGCTGTACTGTCGGGATGGCCACAGCCATGTCAGATTTGAGGATGTTCAGACCCAATCAGATCTAGGGACAAACAGAATAGACAAGGCGTAGGGACCCAGGAAGGGTCAATGGACACGTTTTGGTCATACGGAAAAGCAACCAGTGACCAACTTACCACACCAATGGAGAAGTAGTTGTTCATGATGTTGTATGGGACCTGGTCTCCATTCTCCACCTCTTCTCTGGGTGTGACTTCGAGATACCAGCGGTCCAGCATCACCAAGGGGCTCTGTTCAATCTCCTTCAGGATTTTCGTCAAGCTGCCCCCTTCGTAACCTATGGACAAGGGCATGGTGTGTACCACCAGAGCAGAGGCGAAGCTGTCCCTCAGGCAGGGCAAGTAACTCTTAAGGCGTTTGTGACTAGACTTCTGGGTGATTTGGGGCTGGAGACATGTGTGTTCTCTAAGCCAGGGAGAAGGGGCGGATAGCAGGGAGTAGTTAGCGGAGTTTAGGGTGAGTTGGAAGCCAGAGAGCAAGGACTGGAATAGGTGTTGACTAGAGGCAGGCCTGGCTCTGGAGCTAAAGCCAGCCCTGGAGAATGGGTGAGCTGATGTCATTTGCAGGATGTGGACAGACTAAGGGTTATCCTGTGGAGGGAAGGAAGATGGACTTAGGTATTATGCTTTCTTCCATATGTGATGTTTACATAAATCTCACTATCTATCACCCATCCATCTCTCTATTATCTCTCTCCATCTATGTATCTATCTATACATCTATATATCTACCTACCCCCCCACCTGACATGAAGCAGGAGGTGGGCTATTGGGAGAGGGACGGGGTAATAGAATGTGGGAACAGGCGAAGGTATCGTCATAGATATTAAAAAACAGGATAGTCATGCATGAGAAAGGCTTAACAAAAATTATTTTGTACAGGAAATTCACCACTAGTTGGAAGAAAAGACAAAGGAAGGAGAGTAAAGGGGGGGGGGAGACTGGTCAGCTACAGGGTTGGGAGGTTGTGTGTGGAAGGTAGCAGATCCATCCCAAAACTGTTCTGGGTGGAAGATGGACAGTGTGGCGATAGGGTATACTGTTAAGATGGCTCTCAGGTCTGACTTCCTCTGCTTTAGCCTCCACACAAGAACACAGGTGTTGACTGTCCTGGCTGTCCTGGTCTAGGATTGCTCCCTTAATTGATCAACCACCTGGAGTCATTGGTCTTCTGCCTGCTGGCTTCCCTCAGTGGAACCGGGCTTTGTGTTCGGCCGCATGCCCAGCTCCATTAGCTGCTTCGTTTGCAAAGTCCTTGACCCTTGCTCTAAAAGCCACCATCTCTCTGTGTTCCACAGCCCCAGGGAGCCTGATAATCCAGATGTCCCTGGTGTCTCCTGATTGGTGATGCAGTATTCCAGGCTGCATTCTGAACCCATGCATAAGGACAAGCATGTATAAGGAGGGGCTGGCTGAGATTATCTTTATCCTACAGTAGGCAGGTCCTGCTGGAGGAGGCAGGCTCTAAGCCGATGACTTCAGGACTGTAGTCAGTCAATGCGAAGAGACCATGCAGGACCCTGGGACCTAGAGGAGGGGGCTCCTGTTCCAGATCCAGCATGGAACGGCAGGATCATGGATCAGAAATGACCATCAACTACCTTCCTGTGGACAGTGACCGGTAAAAGCTAAGTCTACCTGTCCCTGCCTAGCATCCGTGAAAGCCTGAACGCTCGGCTCCAGTGTGACGTCAGAGGCGTGCCTACTCACCTCCTCCCCAGCGGAGACATCGTGCAAGGTCATTCCCCGTTCCGAGAGGCAGGACGGCCACTGGTGGATGCTTTGTGAAGTTGGCCTTATCTGCAACCCACATGAAGGAACAGACATGCCACGTGACTAAGGTGGCTGCATTATCTTTATAATCCCCACTGGTTGCTTGCCTTCCCCCACTGTAATCAGAGAATCCTTCCTGCAATGGAAAACACGCCCCTTACTGAAGCCATCCACGACGTTTGCCATGCGCTAGCTGCTGCAAGTTTGCTGACGTTGTCAATCAATTCTTCCTATGGAGATAAATCGCTATCCCTATAATTTGCACCCATTTATCCTAAACACGTCTCAATTCTGTTCTTCAAGGTGACAGCACACGCTGCAAAAACATCGGCTCGTGTGATTTTAACACTTGATGAGGACCAATATTTGTTTTCATTCATTGCCTACGGCAACCTAGCCAAGGAAGAGGTTGATGAAGGAAAAGCGATTCCAGAGCCTGGATCCAAACTCAGATCTCTGGCTTCAAGCCCATCCTGCTGCCCTCGGGGGGCCAGGCAGGGCACAGTGAGAAGTGTGCCTGGCAGTAGGGAATGGTGGTGGTGTGGTCTCTGGAAAACTGACAAAGCTCATTGAAAGCCACGTCTATTTTAAAGCTTAAGCAGCAACAGGGTGCTAAAGTAAGAAAGCCTGCAGGTGTTACCTGACACCCACACACCAGTTTATCATCTCGTGACTCCTGATGCTTCCCAGAATACAGATTCCCGCCCCCCCCCACCTCCCTTTATGGTTGCGCAGGAGTGTGGCCAGAACAGTCAGGGAGATGTCACTGTCCACCGTGCATTGGTCTGCCTGTAGTCTTCAGCATGGTGGCACGGCAGGGAAATTGGAGGGGGAGGTACGGGTACCTGTGGGGCTTTAAGGGGGCATGCACACAGACCCTTGTCCTGTGAGGTGTTCAACATATTAGCCATGGGTGGGGGTTAGGGAGGGCTACAGGAATCCCTGTGGGGAGCTCTAACTGGGACTTTCCTGGCAGAATAGGGGTTCAGAGTCACTACCAGTGGCCTGCCCTGTGCCGGAAGAGGCTGATCTCAGGGCCGAGATTACCGCTGATGGGCTGAGTGGAAATTGGAAAGATGCTGAACTCTGATTGCTCCTGACATGTGACTGGAGTCTCCCGTCACCCGGAGGGCACCTGTTTCTTTCTGTCTGTCCCTTCTCCTGAGGTTGCCACCTTGAGGTTACCCACCCTTCCAGCCCTGAGCCCAGAAATCAGCACGCTATCCCAGCTTTTCCTTTTTCCTCCACTCCATTCACCCACACAGCACTTCCTGTGAGCTGTCTCCGGAACAGATTTCCCAGCAACCTCTTCTCTCCATCCCCATGGAGACAGTGAGTGAGTGCAGGGCTGATTCCTCCCCTCTGTCCTGGTTCCACAGTCTCCTTTTCTCTCTCTGCCTCCACGTCCACTCTCCTGGTGTGTTCTCCACATTCCGCCCTGGAGGGCAATGCCTGGGCCGCAGATCCTCCACATTAGGGCTCTCCTCTATCAGTGTTGCAGCTTCCTCAGCAGCCTACGCTCAGGATCGAGGCTCTGTGCCTTTCTTCCTAGCCTTCACCTTCTGCTCACTCGGCTTCCCACCCTGCCACGAAACCACCCTGAACTTTTCTCGGTCCTAACACTCCTGCTTCTCAGCACAAAAGTCACCTCCTGTCACCTGGGTCTGCACTTGGTGACTCCTAGAGCATCGGGGTGGTGACTGTATCATATTCTCATGTAACTGTTCACTTGTTTGTCCCCTGAATGGCCGATAACTTCATTTGCCCTGGCATCTCCACTTGGGTCCAATGAGTCCTGCCATATGGCAGATGCAGTGGGAGGTGGCCCTGGCCAGGCTCTCATGGTGCCCACAGACTGTGGTGGAGACATGGCTGCCAGATCTTTGCACACATAATGTACCTTTTTACTGGAGAGGGAAGGGGAAACGGTCCTGTTACAAGGTGGCTATAGCTGACTAATGTGTAGGAGAGCCTCCCCCACCCCAAGAAGCTACACTTCATTTGAGGCTGGGGAGCACTTGAGACAGGAGGACCACTTGGACAAGGCTCTATGTGAAGAGAAAGATTGCCCCAGTTGAGGGTCTGAGAGCAGGGTCGGGTGGCTGGAACCCCCCAGAAAAGGATGGGAGGGAGAGCAAATGACTCAACTACCTGAGCCCTGCAGTCATTAGAAGAGTCTCCTCATTTTCTGAAGAACCACAGGAAGCTCTTGGTGTCTTTATGCACACTGCAAACGCACTGATGTTAGGCTAAGAGCGGTCCGATTGTAGCGGGGGAGGTGGGAGTGAGCCCCAGTGGGGTGGCGGAGATCACGGCACACGTGCTCAAATGGTGAATGAAGAAAGCAGCACACTACAGTTTCCTTTTTCCTGCCTGGCTTCTCTTTGAACCAGTAACCTGTGTGAGCAAGTCTAGCATCCCTTTCATCGCACATGGTTCTTTTTTCTGAGCTCTATCTGTCTCCGATGTTCTCTGTAGAGGGATTTTGTGTAGTTTCTCCAAGAGCGGCGTTCTTCCTCTTAGTGAGTGAGACTAAGGGGACTGAGGGCTGAGACTGCAGCCGTGAGCTGCCTTTCCTCTCACAGTTCCCACAAACTTCAGAGCCCACAGAGGCAGCAGAGTGGTGTGTGTGCGTGTGTGTGTGTGATGTGTGCGGTGTATGTCGTCTGTGATGTGTATGTGTACAATGTATGCGAGATGTGTACATGTCTGATGTGTGGATGTGATGTATATGTGTGTAATGTATATGTGTGTAATATGTGTGTTTAATGCATATATGTGAGATGTGTATGTGCCTGAGGTGTGTATGATGTGTATGTATATGTGTGTTTATGTGAGACATGTACGTGTTTGATGTATGTATATGTTATGTATGTGTATAATGTGTGTGAGATGTGCATGATATGTGTGTATGTGAGGCATGTGTATTTGTATGATATGTGTGTGAGATGTGTATGTGTATAATGCATGTATGTGCAATAATATATCTGGTGTGTATGTATGAGAGATGTATATGTGTGTATGTATAAATTTGGGGTGTGTGTGTTTGTGTTTATGATGCATGTGTATATCTGGCATGTGTGTGTGTGTATGATGCGTGTTTGTGTATATATCTGGGGTGTGTGTGATGTATATGATGTGTGAGTATGTATGTATCTGGGGTGTGTGTGTTTGTGTATGATGTGTATGATGTGTGTGTATGTATATATCTAGTGTGTGTGTATGTGTGTATATGTATATATCTGGTGTGTATGTGTGTGTGTATATCTGGGGTGTGCGTGTAGGCATGGGGACCAAAGCCTGGCTATAGGGGGGTAGCAGCTCGCTGATGTTCCTTCTCCTCTCCTACTCTGAAGGCCTCCCTTTCCCTGCCTGACTTGGCTGGGGTCTAGTCTGGCCAGTCTTGATGTTTCTCATCCTTTTATCAACCGTGTCCCAGGTGCCAGCAGACCCTGTTGTCCCTGCCCCCTAAAGACATCCAGACTTGTCCACTTCTCATGCCTTCCTGTTCCCATGTGGCTCAGCCCTGGCCACTCTCTTGGGTCGCTGTGGGAGCTCCTAACTGGTCTCCTCGCTTCTGCTCTTGTCTTTTAGCACGCCACCTTTCTTCTTCACTTAAACCCCCAATGTCTTGGGGTTCTCCCACGCTAACAGCCATGCTCTACCTAACGCTTTACCTACCCATGTGACCCAGGCCCTCACTGCCTCTGCTTCACCCTCTGTACTGCTTCCTGTGTGTACCCTGCTCTTGGTCACACTGGTCTGCCTTCAGCCTTAGGGCCTTGGCCCTTGCTGCTTCTTTTGTCTGGACTATACTCTTAGGCATCCACACAGCTCAACTCTCCAGTTCTCGGAAATAGCATCACTTCGTACCCTGTGAGCTATTCCTATGCAACCTCACTCCATCCCTAGACTCCCTTTGTTCCTCTCTTTGTCCATGTTTACTGCCCTCTGATGCTCTATACATCTCACTCATTTCTTTGTTGCCTGGTTCTTGCCTCTAGAACTAGTCTCCGTTAGTACAGTAATTTTGCCTCTTTATACACTGGTGGCATCTCTAGTGACTACAAGAGGATCTGGCTCATAGGGATTCAAGGCAGCATTTGTGTGATGACAGACAGGAGGTGTGAAGCCGCCCTGGGCTCGTGGCTTGGTCCTGCCCCTCTGACTTTGATGCTAGCCTATCCCGGTGCCTCTGTTGGCAGCTTTCTGGTCTTTCTGTTCTCTACTGCAGAATTTGCCTGGGTTCTGCTTGGGTTCTGTCTTGACTATACCCGATCCCAACATTTCACAGTCTCCATCACTTTCTTAATCCAGGCAGGGCTAGGCTTGAACTCAGGCTCCCAGCTCTCCAGCCCCCTCTCATGCCCTTTCCAGGTGGGACACAGCCCAGCATGGTCTGTCTCTCCTTGCACTTAGCTGCACCTTCTGGACATGCTCCAGGTGTTCCTTTCCAGCTGATTCGCCATGGACTGTGACCTGTGCTCAGCTCCCTGGCTTTTACTCATCACGTGACTATCTGGATCTCTAATTCTGCTTCAAATCTGTCTTGTTCTGTTACTGTCCAGCTCTGTCTGCGACAGATTTTTTTTAAAGACAAAGCCTTCAATGAAACTCTTCAGTACCCCCCCCATATCTAATCAAGCATCCATACACGAAAGGGGCACAGAAGAAGCACAGAATGGACAAGACACGGCTCCATTCCTTCTTTAGTTCATTGCTTTCTGCTGATTTTAATTTTAACCACTATCAATAATAATAAGTGAAGAAAGGCCTTCCTGGTTATTCTTACCAATGCAATCCAAAATCCAGCCAACTGTCCCATCTCCGCCACAGGCAAGAACACGGAAGTCTGGGGTGTCATGGAAAAAGTTCAGTCTGGAAAGAAGAAAGGCCATCGTGGTCTTGTTAGTAGGTTGTGACTAACATTTGTGTGTGTGTGTGTGTACATGCATGTGTGTTAGGGACTGAACCCCGGGCTCCAGCCTGTCAAGCAGACTATCTATCGGTGAGCTTCATTCCAACCTTAATAACTTGATTCTTCTGAGTCAGTCTCTGTGTTCCCTGGAATTAGGAAGAATTCTTGATTCTTTTGGGGTTGAAAGAGTCACTTAGCATTCTGAATCTGTCCTATGCAGAGCTACTGAGTATGGATAAAAATCAATGGTGTGATTTGTGTGTGTGTGAGCGCGCGCGCTCACTAACATCCTAATATGAAGAGAATCTGATCCGACATTCAGTGTAAATGAAAAATCATTTCTGAGAATTTCTCAACAATTTGAGGAATTCGGTTTTTACATTTTGGCAGCGATACAGATAATCCGTAATATTTTGACTCCTCTCAGCTCTCCTGACTGCTGTCTTGATAACCACCTCTTTAAATTATCTGGATCTTCCTCTTTCCCTCTGGGGCTCCCCCTGCCGAGGAGAATGAGATCCATTTTCCTTGGGGGCCTGCGTCCTGTAGAGCAGGGCTTGGGGCCCCGCTGACCTCAGAGGCGACAGACCCCAGAGCACCTGTGACTTTGTCAACGTGAATGTCACAATCGCTATCTCAGCCCATCACAGCCATGCCGTGAGTGGACCGCTCTCATTTCTGTCATTTGTGGCTTTCAGGTCACAGCCACTATTCAGCCAGACTATGAATATTGCTCTTTAATATGTTGACAGACCATATTCATTTACATGCCACAAATTTGTCTGTTAGGTTTTGCTAACTACTTCTCCACGTAATTAGTTTCCCTGGAAATACCATATTATTTCACATTCTGCATTAGAAAATATGGTTCTGGATGGAGTCCTTAGTCCAACAGATCGCGACAGGAGCCCTGGCAGAAAAAGCCGAGAAGTACCGCTGTGGAGAAAAGGGGACCTGTGGATGCCTTGAGGTGCAATTTAGGGATCCCAAGGCCTGTATTTTTCTCTTCTCAGCTGGGTGGTCTGAGAAGACCCGGGGGGGGGGCACGATGGCAATGCTATCCTCTCTCATTTCCCTTGCGGAACCCTGCTCTCTTTAGATGGGGCACTCTGAACCGAGGTTCCCTTCATCTGCACAACTTGCCTGCGGACAGATGAACATGCACACTGAAGATACTCTGGACCCATCAGACCTGAAGTCGACCCCAAGCTTGTCAGTCACAGGAAAAAGAATTAAAGGCCGAGAAACCCATGCCATTGAAATACCCTCTGAGAGAGGGGCCGAAAAGACACTAAGTGTTTTGGCACATGGTGGTGCTATCCAGCAGTAACCCGCAGACACGTGGCCATAACGGCAACTCCAAGAGCCAGACAAACTTCTGAGTAAGTTTTCCAGATAGTGAATTTGTACCTGTGTGCCTTTCTCCTTTTAACTGGGTCTTGTGCTTCCATTTCTATAAATAACTCCTGTATCAGACAACCAAAAGACAGGGACAGGATCCATTTATAGCCACCTTACTCCAGCCCGGTGGGAGGAATCTCACCGAATCTAGAGTGGAAATGCGGGTCAGGAGGTGTGGTAGTCCCGACCAGCAGATGGCGCTAGGGCACCAGCTCTGACTGGGTAGACGCCTTCAAGCCCACTGAGGTGACAATTTCTCATAAAGTGGGCAAGCTCTGTTCACCAGACCTTCAGTCAAGTCACAGAGGCCCTGCCCCCTGCCCTCCCACCACATTTTCTCACCTTCTGCTAGAGAGCAGGAAGGTGGGAGAAGGGTCAGGAGGCGTGTAACCGCAGCAAAATTGGATGCTTGGGGGAAAGAACGGTTTCCTTGACTAAAATGCTCCCATAACAGGACACGTGACAGACTTTGAGAGATGGCATTAAAAGTACAAAAAAGATCAAATAGGCCACCAGCCTGACTGCCCTGCCGGTCCAATGACCAGTAGCGCTCCCTCCTCCCCCGGACATCAACACCACTTCCCAAACAATAACCAGGACAGGAGAAGGTGTGCAAAAAAAAGAAAGGAGAGCAGATGGTAGGCAGAAAAGGTCAAGAGCCCGAGAGTTCAAAGGTGACGAAGGAGGGTGTTTCTTGAGAGAAGACGAATGTCCATACCCTGGAGTGGGTCCACCATTGTCCAGGTTGAAAACTTGTTTGGGGTTGAGCAGGTAGTGGAATTTCCGGAGAATTCTATGGGAGAAAAAAGCAATAACAGAGAAGGAAAATTGTACTGCAGAAGTCACCTGGGGACAAATACCTTTGCACCCATCGGTGGGGCTTAAGCCTAAGGGGAGAAATGTTGCATGCATACCCCCATATCCCAGTGCACCTGGCATCCCCATGTCCTTACCTCGGGCCCAAAACTACCCCGCTATCTTACTCCAGCCCCACCCCAGGAATTGCTTATTGCAGCAGCCATGGCAGAGAAGCCTAGTGAACAAGGCTGTTAGAGACCTCTGGATATTCTGTGTCGGGTAGGGTAAGTCTGCCCTTTGTGGGCTGTCCAGAGGTGCTAGGGGTCCCTGGGTAGAGGGTCCAGCCTTCTCAGAAGAGTACATGAGGGAGGGGGTGGGACCGGAAACTGAGAGCAGCGACTGTGTCTGGGTTTCCAGGCTCTTGCGTGGGATTGCTAGGTCAGGTCAGGAGGCATCTTGCCCCTTGGATGGGGTGGGGACCTCAGTGTACTTGCCTGAGCTCTACCTAATGTAATTTTTCTAAACTCGGATTCCTGCTCTTCCTCCACCTGCTCATTTCCCAGACTGAGCGGTCCTGGGAGGCAGAGCAGTTCTGTGGGGCCCCCATTTCTCCTCCCGCTCTGCTGAGCTTACTCCAGCTTCGCCCAAACCCTGCATTTTCCTCGCTGGGAAAGTGGAGTTCAGGATAGGCTAGGAGGCCCTAATCAGGTGAGTCTCACCAAGTCTGTTAAAACCAAGAAAAGACTTGGTGCAGGACAGGAAAGGTCAGGCCCCTCTGAACTTGACTCTGGCAGCCTTCACAGGGGCTCATGTGGCAGGTCCGTGGGTAAGCATTAGGTCTATTCTAATCCTTAAGGTTACCCTGTGAAAGGTGATATCATTTCCACCTGTGTCATAGAGGGGGAAACTGAGGCATGGGGAATTAAGTCACCTGGGCCTGGTGATGAAGTGGCAAGTGGCCATGAGCCCAGGTTTCCTTGACAGTGCAGTCTTCTTTATTGGGGTTGAGGGGAGGAAGGGGTTCAGGTCAGGTTGTTTTAGCATGTCTATTTTGTTATTGTTTTTATTTTTTGAGACAGGATTTCTCAGTGTAATAGTCCCAGCTGTCCTGGAACTCGATTTGTAGACCACGCTGGCCTCGAACTCACAGAGATCTCTCTGCCTGCCTCCTCCCTCCTTAGATCAGTACTCCTCCTGAATACTGGGATTAAAGGTATGTCACACTGTGCCCAACTGTCTTTTTATTTTGAAGAAAACAAAGAGGACATACCTTTCTCCTTGTCTTCCTCCACTTTTGGGGTTCACCAAGACCAGCAGGGGGTGAGTTCCTGGACTAGGGATGATCTTATACTTAAAAATGAGAAGAAAAAGAAATGAGCATTATTTAGTAGTAGATGTCGAGACAACTTTGGAGGGTGGACGGGAAGCAGGCCCAGGCAGGGAGGAGAGGAGGGGGCTATTTGTCTGCTGACTGAACTTTTTGAGGGAGAAAATCAGCTATTTCCAGCTTGAGAGACTTTCAAGGGAGCAGTGAGAGCTGGAGGTTGGGATCAGAGGTGGGGCAACAGCACCAGCTTCAAATTGTACAATTGTGTGGCATTATGCCCATGGCACAAGGTTAGAATCGGTGAGGGTCACAGTGAAATAGTCTAGAGGGTTCGTCCACCACGTCACACACCTGCACCAATGAGATGATGCCCACGAGCACTCCGGCCCCGGCACCTTCCAAATCCACAAGCCTGACCCAATTTTCCTCCCAAGCTCACACTTCTATCTAGTGGATGCCTTATCATTGGTACCACACCAACATGCCCAGACAGACTGTGTTTCCCTTAAAATCGACCCTCATGCCTGTTGTCCTGCTCCTGTTAAAGGTGGGGCTACTCAATTGAGCATCCGGGGGGGGGGGATCTGGCCTGCCAAGTTCTTTCTTAGAATTTTCCTTACAGTCTTCGTGGTCCCTATGCTGTTAAGGCTTTTCCTACCCCCAGCTGAATGCACTACACCCCCACCCCAGTTCCTTTCTGGGATACCACATCAAACATGCCACCTCTTCTAAAACACCTGTAATGACACCCCCTTGCTCTCAGAATCAAATCCAAATCCTGGCCTCAAGGCCTTCTCAGCCTCTCCCCTTTCTTCTTCTGTCTCCTCACTTCTCCTGTCTTCCCCAGTGATAGGCCCAGAAACATGTGCCTGCCTCAGTGAGTGTGTCTAACTCTGCATATGCTCACCGTCATTTGCTCTTGACCCATGACTTGAAATACTCTCTTCTTTGTAACCTCTTAAAGAAATGCAGCATAGCCCAGGACTTGGTTCCAGAGTCATTGGCTCTGTGATGTGACATTGCTCTCAGCTGCTGCAACTAAAGCTGCTGAAGCATGCAATGTGCACTATTCCCTACAGCATTGAGATTCGACTCTTTGCATTTCTTTTTGTCTTTCATTTTCTGGGTAAGCTGTCAAGCCGTTAGGTAGATTAGAAACGATGAGGAGCAGAGTGGAGCTGCCGTGGGTTCCACGGTGCCTGACACGGGAGTGGGCTCTCAGTCAAATTTTGTGGATTCAGCAGAATGATATTCCCACACAGATACTGCTTGGCCTCATGTTCAATATTTAATGCCTGCATCGTTAGTTTTAAACTTCACAGCCATCTATCACAACATGACAGTTTTGCAAAGTGCAATTGTTGTTGTTTATGATTTCAAAGAATTCTGGTGTCTTCTAGGGTAATTGTGAGATACTCAAAAGCATCTTGGAGCCAGGGGAGTAAGCCCTTAAGCCGGGAGATGACATTCAAAGTGCGACCTGCCAGTCAAATTGATGCCAGTGTGGGACAACTTGTGTCTTTTGCCCTCAGTGTGTGTGTGTGTGTGTGTATGTGTGTGTGTGTGTGTGTGAGTGCGTATGCATGTGTGTGTATATATTCTCTTCTAAGTGCCTAGAGTGTTCTTTTCTAGGTATCTATACCCCTTCCTTTCTCTGTGGTGTCTAGACTATTTTCTTGGCATCTAGAGACTTCTCTTTGAGTGTCTAGAGCATTTCCATCTACTGATTATTTTATCTTGCATCTTCAATTTCAGTTTATCTTGTAATTTCAAAACAGATGATCTCCATTGTCTCAGTCTACAGAACTGTGGGAGGCAAGCAGTTGTGGGACACGGTATACTGACTCTTAAAACAAGGAAACGGGGGCTGGAGAGATGGCTGAGAGGTTAAGAGCACTGGCTGCTCTTCCCAAGGTCCTGAGTTCAACTCCCAGCAACCACATGGTGGTTCACAACCATCCAAGATGAGATCTAGTGCACTCTTCCAGCCTGCAGGCATATATAACACTGTATACATAATTAATAAATATTTAAAAAAAAGAAAAAAAACCAAGGAAACGGAAGCTCGCAGGCCTAGGATAAGACCCCGTCTTTCTATTTCCTGTTCTGATATTTTTTTGTACCTCGTTGGGTGCCTTCTCTGCATTCCGTAGAACTTCATGGAGGACATGCAAAAAATATTCATTGGTGATGCTTAATGAAAAATGAGGTCTTAAACACACGCTTAAGGATCAAGAACCTTTGGATTTACTGTTTTTGATGGACTGTGTTCTAGAGATAGCTGGGCAACCACAGAAGACCCACTGTCCAATCTTACACCATACATTTGTTACTATTCAGAAGATTTGCAAGTTGTAGTTTCATGGAAATTTATCTTAAAGAGGCCACAACGCCAATTGGAATATCATAGGAATCAGCCAATTGCCTTGCTCACCACTGTCCATAGTGTGGCAGTCAAAGGTGAACCCCAGAGGCCCGGGGAAATGTCCACCCGTGTGACAGAATTGATAGGACAAGAAGCAAATGCTGAGACACATTTCTTTAGAACCCAAGTCCTCCTCTCCCTGCCCCAGACTTTGGACCCACTTAGAATAAGTAGTTGGACGGGCCATTCATGAGGTACCTGTGTTACAAGTTCACCCTTGGAGGCCATGCTGCCGTCGGACTTCCCTCCTTGCCTGTCCTGTGTGAGAGAGAACACAAACAGCCTTTGAGAGGGACAAAGGCTACTGCAAGGACAAGATCAAAGCATTACAAGAGATAGCAAGAAAGAACTCGGACAGGTAGAAAGCGGTGAGGTTTTCAAAGTGGAACTTCGGAGCTCAGAAACGAATATACCCCACAAGGTTCTCTAGGCTTCTGCAGACCCCATGATGACTGTAACCTGTGATTACATCACCTGTGGTGACTGTCACCTTGGGGCATGGTAGGGACTGAAATAGGCGGAAATCTACCCGACTGCAGGCTTTAAAAGCAGGCCGTATTCTCGGTTTCCCTGCTCAGCAGGACTTGACGCCATGGCGTGGCTACTGTTCCTCACTTTGCTTGTTCTACTTTCTTGTTTAAAAGTTCATTGTTTATTCTAATGACGTTTGTCTAGCAGACTGCCTGGCTTGATAGTCTGTGTGTGTGTGTGTGTGTGTGTGTGTGTGTGTGCATGAATTCATGCACGCAAGCATGTGATTGCTGTCTCTGCAGACAACCCTGGTTTTACCTGATCTTCAAGAGTTTTATCAAGAGAATCATGAAGCATGTCTGCATTTAACTTTTTCAAAATTTTATTTATTTATTTATTTATTTATTTATTTATTTATTTATTTATTTATATGTATGAGTGCTCTGTGTGTATGCATGCCTGCAGGCCAGAAGAGGGCATCAGATCCCTTTATAGATGGTTGTGAGCCACCATGCGGGTTCTGGGACTTGAACTCAAGACCTCTGGAAAAGCAGCTTGTGCTCTTATCGGCCGAGCTGGCTCTCCAGCCCCACACATCAAACTTTTGTGCTATTGCTTGTTTAGCTTTATATCTTTGAGCATCTCTGCTTTTGCACCTAGGCACCCGTGCTGTGAGGAGCTGTGTCCTTGTCTGTTGATGGAGTAAATGCTTGCATTTCTCCACAGGAGGCGTGTTTTGGGGATATGGAGTTGGTATATGTCTAACTTAATGGAAACTGACAAATGGACTTCCAGAGTGGTGATTTTCTCAAAGGATTTTAAATGAGAGAAAAGAAAAGTATCTGTTCCAGGCAGGGGTGAGAAGGGAGACTCAGTGGAGATAGTTTGAAGATGGAGGTGCAGGAGTCAGGAGGCAGAAAAGGTTCCAGGTGGGAGCAAAGGGAGCGCACTTCATCTTCATTTGTTTCCAAATATGTCTGAGACACTTGGGTAGGAGCCCTTGAGAGAGAGGAGATCCATGTGTGAATGCCAGAGATAGCTTGACAGGGATGAAGGAGGCCAAGCAACCCGGCCTGGGCCGGGTGGTCCCTTGAGCTGGGCTCTGCCTGAAAGATGCTCAGAAGGGATGCTCCGAACACGTGGAAGCTGCAGCATCTGTGTTCTCGCCCAATCTGCCTGGGGCAACACTGGCTTCTTTTCAACCTTCACCAAAGCATAAGCCCTTGGGGCTTACGTTCCAAGAGGTTGGTCGTGTAGGCAGTAGGTTGGCCAACAGTGGGGCTCTGGAACCCTCTCTGCCTTCTCTCTAGACTTGCCCTTAGAACTGGTGGGGAAACATGGAGGCATGTGAAGTTGTGGGTGTCGCCTGTCTCTGACCCCTGAACCTAGAAAAGCCAGAGCCCTGGTAGGGGGAGGACCACTTACTTGGGTGATGGGGTATATGGCGGTAGGCAGCAGAATGTGGTCTTTGAGCTCCCCACCATCACACACCGCCGAAAATTCACATCTGCGGTGAAACTGGAAAAAGAAAAAATGGAGACAGGATGAGCGGAAACGACAAAAGAAACATCAGAAAGGTGGGTGTGGAGGTTTTCTGGGCAAGAGAGCTGTCTAGTGCCCCTACGTCTTGGAGCACTCCCAACTTTGGCTTTAACAGGACTGTTGGTTATGTGTGTGAACACGTGGTGTGTCTGCCAGGGTCATAGAAATGAGATCAAGAGCTACCCTCCAAGTGTGGCCCTCTGTGTGGATTCTGCACTTATGCCCCTGGATTTCTTAGACATTCTGAAGGAGGCCTGCCTCTGGGAATAAAACCGTAGGAGGTTGGCGTATAGAGACAACTGAACCATCGCATTGTGTGAGTCCCTTTGTCTGGCTTGGGGGAGCCTCCTCTTTAGGGCTGATACCTAACCAGGGACCACAAGACACTGCCCAGAATTAGCGCTGGGAGGCAGGCTGGGCAGCCTAGGTGGCACCTGTCATGTTTAGAAAGCTGTGGACGCTGGCATGAACACGGGAGGAGCATGGCCAGGCCCCTGGGCGCGCCAGGGCGCTGCTGAGAGGAATGTGCCTTTGAGCCAAGTTTTAACGCTAAGGTGTGGAGAGTGAGCTTTCCAGTATCTGATCCCTGCTCCAGTCTGTGGGGACCCCAGCCTCAGGTGGAGGAGAACTCACAAGCTAGCCTGCTCTTCCCAACAGCTAGTCATGTAGGCAATAGGGTGACCAACTTCTTAAATAGCCCTCTCTCTGGGCAACTTGAGGAGTCATCCGAGGCTGAGAACCTCAAATTGGGGTGGGGGGTTCTGGGACCCTCTCCTCCTTCTCTCTAGACTTGCCCTCTGCAGGGATGTTCACTGCCCCGGCTATAGCTTGAGCCAATCCCACACTGAAAAGAAGTAGGACCGCCCTGGGCACCGACCCACCGTCATCCGGCACCACACGCAGTGCCGCGCAGTGACACTCTGGTAGCACTTGATACTTTTGTGGCACCGGTCACACTTGACGGAGGAGTTCCCTTCCACCCACGCGTGCTGCATCACCTGTGGGAGGGAAGGGAAGGATACCAGGGAAGGCAGTGGAACCACACCCCTGGGCCCAGGGTACCAAGAACTGGGAGGCGCGAGGAGCCCAGAGGGCCCTGTTTCCTCAGTAGTGGAAGCTTCTTTGGACGCAGAGTTCCTCGCTGCCTGGCCACCGTGCTAAGCACAGAAGATTAAAATCCTTCTCCGCTTCTGTACTAACTCTCACCAGGCAAGCTTCCCGCCTGCCAATCCTCTGCTTTGCCAAATTCACTAGCGAGCCCTGTCCTCATGGGAGACCCTTTCTGGGAGTCAGTGTGGTGCGCGCGTGGGGGGTGGGGGGAATGGGCGGTAGTCAGAGGGCTGGAGTGCGGACCCAATCTTCCGGAGTCGCCTATTTTGCACCTAACACCTGGGTGCCTTTTGGCCAGTTTCGGAACTTCTCTGAGTCTTTGGACCCCCCTCTTTAGACACCAGCATGGGGTACCTCTGGGATTGGGGAGGATGCAATGAGCCAGCACATTTGCAAATCTTCCCGGGTATTCTCTTCTCAGTCAAAGCTGCCCATCACAATCACCTGGGGGTTCTCCAGAAGGCCTAGTGCCCCGCCCACACTCCAAATAAATGAGTCTCTGGGGTTGGGCCCCAGATATTTGACTTAAATGTCCCCGTGTGATTTAAATTCACATGCATTAACATGCCCTGCGTGCCTATCCTATGTAACCATAGCTGAGAAGCAAAGTCTAAGTCAGGGTAAAACAGGTCTCTTTTTATGCCCATTTCTTGGCCATCTGGGTGCAGCAGCCACCTGGCTGGGAAATGCCACCAGGGCAGATCAGGAGGGTATGTGTGCATGCCTCAAGCAAAGAGGAGGAACCTCTGACCCATTGCCTGGGAGCATCTGCACTCAGATCTCTCCCGGGAGTCCCACAGAACTCAGAACTTTCCACCAAGGTGCCCTGAACTGCAGAAGAAAAAAGCCGTGGAAGGAGTGGTGTGTGTGTTCGCGAGCGCACATATCTTTGAAGGGCTCAGCTTCAAAAACTATATTAGAAACATGCAAAATATCTACATATTATCCCTATTTGCATTAAACAAGACTAAATGTTTTCAGTTACTTAGCAGTTGTGCGACACTATTCACCCAGAATATTTTCGCTATAATTTATTGTTCCAAAAGAGGTGTCACACTTGGCTCGTGGCTTCTCACCTCCAGCGGCCTCGCTGAGGGTACAAAGCAGTCACTTGGTGAATTTGTCATCTACGCGGTCACACTGAATATGCCCTGAGATTGTTGTTTCCGTTTTGCAGAGGGACACGTTGAGGCTTTAGGAAGGTAAGTGACTGCCCTTGGGTTCTAAGGCTGGTGAGTAGGGACCCATAGAGACCCACGAGCCAGGTCTTTTGACTTAAGCCCCAGGGTTGTTGTTCGAGTACCATGTTGTTTTTTTTCCAGCCTGTCTGGGGTCGGAAGAAGTGGTGGGAGATTTGGGGTGTCCCTGCAGGCTCACAAGGCTGTGGTGTACTCTGCTGGCCCATCAGGAGAGTCACCCTGTTCTCTGGGTCAGATGACTAGAGTACGGGCAAAGGCCCGAGCATAGGAGGCCCGCTGTGTGTTCTGATGGGAGCCAGGCATGGGCATGGAGGGGTGTGTATGAGCAGTGTGGGGGAGGGGACGAGGGTCATGCTATGGGGCATGCATATGAGGAGTCTGAGGTCTGAGGAGCCCTCTGAGGTGTGAGGCGCGTCCTCCCCGGAGGCCTTCGGGGGGGCTGTGAGCTCCCACCTTTTCACCATCTCCTGACTCACATTCTTCAACTACATCGACCCTCTGCAGCAATGCGGATAATCTTCCCCTCGGTTTAAGGGCAATCTAATTCCAGACTCAGCAAATGGCACCACCCAACAGCCAGAGGAGCGCTGGGAGCCATTCCCGCAGCCTGCCCTCTCCTCCTCTGCACCCACATGCCTAAGTCCTGGGGCTGCGCCTCTCAGCTGCCTGGCTAACTCCTTCCTTCCCTCATCTTCTCTGCTTTATTAGTGAAGTCTGTCGGGGCACTCAGACACAACCAGTCATGAAAGGGTGGATATAAACAGAGCCAGCCGGGCTCTAGCCTTGGGGCAGCACCTCTTCTGTTGTAACTGCTGGAAGAATGCTCTTCCCCCTGGCTTCTCTCCTACACCAGCCTCAGAAAGAGTCACGTAATTAACAAATTCACCATCTCTTCATGTCTGCAGTGTCTCCCCGACCCTCCACTGCTTTCTAATTCTGGAGCTGGTCTCCCAAACCCTTATCACATCGGGCCTCATCACCTTATGAGGCTCCTTGTTCTCCCCTGTAATCATCTGACCCAGCCATTTCTAACCTCTAACCAAGTCCAAGCCACAGTCACACGCGTCTCCATGTCTGTACACAGGAGCCCCTTCTGCTTGAATTGCTTGGCCCTCCTCTGTGCCCTGCGAAGCTCTCCTGGTTTCACGAACAAAGCCAGCAGCACCTCCTTTGAGGAGCTTTTTCTTTCGAGCCTCAGCTGCACACTCCACACGGCCCTATTGTGAGAGCACACGCCTCACGACTATGTATTTGCACTATTCACACATGCCTGTCTATCCTCCGTAATCTGGGCAGCATTTGAGTGGACTGGATACCACGTCTCAGAACCTGCGGTTGCCCTGGTACAGCGCCTGGCATGCAGTGGGCCTCAGGGAGATGCTGAATGGATTGATGAATGCGTGGGATGGCTTAGGGGTGGTCCTTGAGACAGAGAAGGAACTAGAGAAATCTCTCAGAGCCCCTTCCTGCATAGGAATCTGTGATGATGGCCATGTTGTCCCCGAGGCAGCATGCATTAGAATGAGCCAATAGGTGTCACCAACCTCACCACTCCTTTTGGCTTTTGAGTATGTTTTCACACATCCAGGAATGTTTTTGGACACACAGCGTTGGTGGACAGTGTATTTACAGTCTGGAAAAAAGAGAAAGGACTGTGCTTATGAACACCACCAAGGGAAGATCCAGCCCCCTCCCCGGTGCACACACTTCAGTGAAGGCTTGTTTCTTCTTCTGGGTGACGGTCAGTGAGGAAAAGTGACATATGGAGTTGGCCTGGCCTAGCAGAACTCTAACACTGCTAGTGTTCTCTGAGCAGTCTGCTGCTGCCTCCCAGTTCTTCCCTAACACTTCCACTTTCTCCATGAAGCAAAGTGACGTCAGAAGGAGCAGTGAGAAACAGATGCCATTGTATGTCAGGATGCCAACAATGAGTGACAGAAAGGCCATGATCACTGGGATGATGGATGCTATTGGACACCACAGCACCTTGAGTAACTGTTTTGCCCAGGATGGACTGGGCGGTGGTGGTGCACACCTTCAATCCCAGTACTTGGAAAGCAGAGGCAGGTAGATTTCTGTGAGTTCAAGGCCAGCCTGGGTCTACAGAGTGAGTTCCAGGGCAGCCAGGACTACACAGAGAAACCCTGTTGCTATAAAACAAACAAACAAACAAACAAAGACCAACAACAAAAAATGATAACAACAACAACAAAGAAAAAGAAATAAAGAAAAGAAAAGAAAAGAAAGAAAGAACTTCAGACTCCTCTGTCGATGTGCCCACAGTGGCTTCCTTTTCTCTTTCTGGGAAGGGACTTTGCAGTGTGAACATTTGTGTGCGGCACCACGTGCAGGATCAGATTAGGCAATTCCACATTTTGACACTGTCACTGTAACTGTGATTATGCAAACAGCAAAGGAGCAGAGGTCTCATACTTAGCAGGAATGGGAACATGTTGATGAGCTGATGCAGAGTGGGCGGACCTGTTCTTCAGCCTGCCCACTCCCTGGAGTCCAGTTGGTATCTGCTATCTGGCCACGAGGTGGCTAGCAGGGCTCAGTGCACCCACATTTGCTGCCCCCCTGAAGCTTCTGGCTTTTGTCGCATCTCCTCTTGCTCTTTCCCCATCTTCCCAAATTGCCTCTTCCTCTCCCCTTCCCTCTGTTTCTTTCTGTGTTCACCTTCTTAGTCCGGATCTAATTGCTCATTTGTGCTTATGTTTCTGCCTTCCCTCCAGTTTTACTAAATGGATTACAAAATGAAGTAAACATACAATTTCATTTTTCATTGCACTTCTAGAATATAGAGTGTGTTCTCAACTAATTAGAAAGCACCCCTAAGCACACATGAAATGAACGCTGGCTAGAAACACAACTGCAGTTAGCATGAGATGCTTTTAACTTGTGTAAGAACTCTAAATCTTTTTCCTAGGAGACCAGTGGTCCGGGACTCCAGCCGCAGCAAACATCTTGTCCATTTGACTCAGCTAGACCCAAAGCAGGGCACAGAGGCCTTGCTGTGGAAACATGAGGGGTGATCCCACCATCTGGGAAACAAATGCCTAGACTGTCCCTGGAATGGACCAACTAACTGTGTGCCAAGCGGACAGAGGCCGTGGGCAAAGACCTGGAGGATGGTTACTCACAAATGCAGCTCAGGCCTTGCTTCCGGACACCCATCAGCATGATGTGGCAGAAGTTGCAGTACGTGGGCTTCTTGAAATGCTTCAGGGTCCAGGCATGCCTTCCGTCCCCCATGGAGCCCTGCAGAGGTAATGGCAGTGAGCAGTGGAGCTGGGACCCCACCCGGAAATCAGAGGCTGCCTCAAGCTGGTAATGTTCTCTTCTCAAACTTGGAAGAGAAGTTTTGCAGTCGTTAACAAATTCTTAGTGTGCGTTTTCTAAAATTAGCATACACAAAAGAAGAGAACGTCTGAATGGAGGTGGGAGAGGAGCTAAATAAACCCTTTCAGACCTGGATTCCTGAGGGATAAATGGAAGAGCAACTTGGTGTGTCTGCCTGCCTGCATTTTTATCTGCCTATCGACCTGTCTATCTATCTATCTATCTATCTATCTATCTATCTATCTATCTATCTATCTATCTATCTATCTATCTATCTATCTCACCTGTCTATCTGAAGAGTCTTTAATAATTGCAATCTTTGACTTGCCAGCATCCCTCCTTGGGCTTCAGTCTACAGAAAACTGTTTTTGAGAAAACAGATGAGCATTATTGTGCTGGTCAGATGCAACATTATTTCAAATAGTGAAGAGCTAAAGATACACTAATGGTTCCCAAATCGCTAAAATTGCAGATATGATAGGGTTTTATGACTCTAGCTGTAGATATAAGACTAATGGGAAGCTGGGTGTGGTGGCACATGCCTTTATCCTAGTGTTGAGAGGCAGAGGCAGATGGATCTCTGAGTTTGAGGCCATCCTGGTCTACATAGCTACAGGCAGGACACCAGGGCTGTGGAGAGAGACCCTGTCTTAATCTTAAAAAACAAATAAACACGCACGCAAACAAACAAAAATATATTTAAATATATCTAACGGTAAAAGATTCTATGTACTTGTTAGCCAAAGTTAGCTGTGTCTGGAAGACTGTGCATTGTTTTCTCCCTCTTTAATTTCTGATTTCTTTTATATTTTCTGAAATTTCTCCGGTGAGTATAGACTAGCATAATTAAGAACAATTGCCTTAGTAAAAACAATGTACTTTTTTTTTTGAGACAGGGTTTCTCTGTGTAGCTCTGGCTATTCTAGAACTTGCTCTGTTGATCAGACTGGATTCGAACTCAAGAGATTCACCTGCTTCTGCTTCCCAAGTGCTGTGTTTAAAGGCGTGCACTACTACCACCTGGCTAATAATATACTTCTTATACCAACTTAAAAATTTTTAGATTTATTTTATTTTATGTATATAAACATTTTTCTTACACACACACACATACACAAACAATCACACACACATAGTCACACAAACACACGGTCTCTCTCTTTCTTACACACACACACACACACTACTGGCATGCTTATACCAAGTTTCTGCAAACAGGTAAAACACTAAGGTGAGGGCTGGTGATGAGATGGCTCCGTGGGTAGAGGCGGTTGACAACCTGCGTTCAACAGGATGCACCGAAAGGGTAACTCTTGAATGCTGTCATCCTCAGACCTCTCCATGCATTCGACCATGTGTGGAGAAAGCCCCGCTCCATGTAAAACATACATGTAACTATAGCAACAACAATTCTAAAGAGAGACCTAGAAAGGGAGTGAATGTTTTTTCGTGAGCGGCTCAGGGGCAAAACTCTCCTCAGTCACATGTGTGAGCCGTGCCTCATGTGGTCACCTCTTCCTTGGCATGCCAAGTTCCATGTCCCAGCTCCTGGTACACTCCCTGGCTTGAGTCTGGCTTTGGGGGCATCTCTCCTGCTGAATCTTTCCCAGGGTTCCATCCTGAGCAGCACTGGGTGTGGTCTGAAGGGCAGTGAAAACTATGCTTGAAAACTTATCCTTGGATGTGTGGCCAGGGGCATGGAGTCCAGTCCTAACATCTGTGTGTCCGTGCTGTTGGACTGATCTCTGTGATCAGCCCTGCTGCTGGACCTAGATTGTGATCCTTGGAGTCCACGTTCTTTGTCAAATTCTTATCTATTCCCTTGACTTTTGTATCCTATGTTCTTCAGGACCCTTTTCAAGACCTGAGTTGTACCGACTTAAGGTTTCCACTTCAGGATGCAGATTTGCGGGGGGGCTAGCAATTCACAAAAAAGACCAGCTGACTTATCCCTTTGGCAGATATCTGCCCCTACGACTTGCAGTGATGATGATGATGATGATTACGATGATGATCATAAATGTTATTCTAGTCCCCTGACAGATCCTAGTCTGTACAAAATATTAGGGGGTATGAAAGTTGTGGAAGAGTGGTAAGTCTGTTACTAGTATACAGTTTAAACAACAACAACAACAATAACAACAATAAAACAAAAAACAAAAAACATTCAGGAATTATGTAACTAGGGCCAGTGCCACAGGAGGAAAGAGTGACAGACAGTAGTCAATGTATGCCTTTTTCTACCACCTTTTACAAGGGTTTCCCTGGGCAGAAGGAAACTCAGCACCCTGTCAGCAGATCTGCTTATTCATGAACTAAAGGACCTTCATTTTATCAGCAGACACCTCTGTTATCTAAGCTGTGTACCCCTCCCCCCAAACCCTCAGCTCTAAGAAGCAAATGCACCAAGGGGCCTAAATAAAGCTTCTACTTAGGTTATAGCGCCATCGTGTGGCTTGCTCATTTCTGGGTAGGTTTTGCCCCATTGCTGCATTTGCCTGCTCCGTGTTCTCAGAGGTCATCTGTGTGAGTGAGAACTTTGGCAGGAAAGCAGCAGGCCATACAAGACATTGATGGGCTTCCTCTAGAAGCCTGGATGTTGCTCATGAAAGAACTTGTTTAGCCCACACTTAAAATAGATTTAAAAGGATTTTGATTAATATCAATAAAATTACATTTATTTTTTGTTTCCCACGTTTTGTAATGTGAATTCTAGTTTTATTCAAGGCTGATTTGAAGGGAATGCTGGAAAGGATGCTGAAGGAATACACAAGCTTTACCTGCTGCTTCCACAAGCGTGGGCTCTTTCCACACGAGATGTCAGTGGGACTTTGAACATCAGCATGGTCAATGCAGGGAGGAGAACAGAAATTGGTTCTTTATGCTTAAAATATCTCAGTTTTGTTCCATCAGATGAGAACAAACCAAACCAGCAACACTGTGTCAGGATAGCAACCAAGCTGAGCTCCTCTTTTGATCCAGGGCCTAGTGAGTGATGACAACAGCCTGTCTTGCTTCTTGGGGCTCTTGTGGGTTCTCATATGTGTAGCCCCTCAGCAATGAAGGTCCCCAAATAACTGAGTGTGGCAGTTGGGCCTCTGCTCAGACGTGTGCCCTTGGGCCAGTCCTGCACCCCGCCAGACCATTTGTAGACCGGAAGAGCAGGACTCACCGAGGACTCTTCCAGACACATCACGGACCCTAAGAGCCAGAACGTGTTATCAAGCCCCACCTGGTGTGCGGGCCTGTAAACCTAGCTACTCTGGACACTGAATCAGGAGGACCACAAGTTCAATCGACAAGACCTGCCTGGGCTCCAGAGCAAGTCTGAGGCCAGCCTGTGCCATGGAGTGAGCTGATTAAAAAATGAGAAGTAAAAAGGGGAGGTGGGGATATAAACCAGGGGGAGTGCTCGCCTAGCATGTGTGAGGCGTTTGGTTCAACACACACACACACGCATATATGTATGCACACGCACACACACACACAAAATAGAAGACAGAGTAAGGTATCAAGATCTTGCTTATTCTTTAGGGATAAATCAAATGCCCTCCAAGTTTCTCCTTCCTGCTCTGACTAAGGTGTAGGGTGTTGGAAAGTGTGGGGAATTTGGAGCGAGGTACAAAACCTAACTCCTCTTCTGCTCAGAACCTCAGTCTTCCATCTATACAAAATGGGGTAGAAAGATCTACCTTATCTGTTTTGATTGCTAAACCAGTCATGAAAGCCCCTCAGCAGATCACTATTCCCCTGCTCCCTTCCTTCCTTTGCCAATTCCTTTAATTTAAAATTTTTACATTACGCTTACTTATTGGGCAGAGGGTGAGCATTTGTGTCATGGCGTGTGGTGGGCAGATGACAGGGAAGCTTGTTATTTTCTTTCCCCATGTGGGTTCTGGGAATCGAAGTCAGGCTATCAGACTTGGTGGCTGGTGCCTTTGTGTGCAGAGCCCTCTGACTGGTTCCTTTCCTAGCATCTTACAACCTAACTTGATGAAACATGAGATTCTCCTTGACGTTTCTTCCGCACTTGGCCTGGTTGAGTATGTGTCTTGCAGGCAAATGCTGTGTTCTCTTAGAGTGTGAACAACAGAAAATTTCCCTTAATAACAGTACATCAAAGGTTTTCCAGATGAAAGAATGTATTTTGGGCATGAGCAAGTGAAAGGAATAAAAATACAGAGCACCCCAGAGCCAGCCTGGAGTGCGTGGCTTGCCTATCAGGAAGTCTGGAGCAGACACTGGCAATGATATAGAGCCCAGACATTTAACGTGAGTGTACTGACTTACAGAGTCGTCCATTCCCAGGAGGACCAGCAATGGGATGGTGGTCATCCCCCCATGGACCCACTCCTGTAGAGACACAAAGCCATCCTTGTCGTAGTCCATTCCTTGCAACATCTCCTTCAGGATCTGTGAAATGTGAAGGACAGTGGTTCATTCCCACCCTTTTCCGGATGCCTCTGCTCTCAGTGTTCTCTCTGCTCTTGTCTTACAGTTTCCGTTTCACCCGGTTTCCTTCTAAGTCAGAGTGATCGAAGTGACAAAGGACCAGCAGGGACATTGGGGTTCTAAGTCCAACTCTGCCCTGCCCTGACCTTAGGTGGCTCATACTAGCTCTCTGGGCTCTAGGTCGCTCATCTTCAAACAGAAATAATACCGCTGTGTTTTCAGAAATGCATGAAAAAGGTTTAATCTAACACCTGGTACACGGTGCCCGCCAGTGAGGTTAACACTAACAGCTGATGGCTGACAACTTTCCCCCAAACTGTTTGAGGCTCTAACCTCTGTGAATTTCTATCAGAAAACTGTCTCTGGTGGGAAAGTTGGGGGAACTGTGATTTCTCCCGTGTCTACACTTCCTTCTGTTGCCTTAAGTATCTTCCTTGTTGGAGAAATGGGGGGTCCAAGCATAGGGCTCCAAAGAAGCTGCTGAGGAGGTCGTCTGGGGGCACCATACAGCACACATATAACCATTGCACCCACATCCCCGGTGTGCCCACTCTCTCTCGAGGATGCTCCCCCTGGAGTCAACTGTGCTCATAGAAACTCACAGGCCTGAGCTCTGTGGGGTCCCACTCCAGGTACTGCGCGATATGTAGCATTTGGTTCACAATCTGATCCATCTCCTAGAAAATACCAGGAGAGAAATCATCAAAGGGAGAAAACCAAAGTTGTTGTTTTTGTTTTAATCAAAATAAGAGCAAAACTCAAAATCAAAACTGATGGGAAGGCAGGCGGGGGGGGGGAGTGAGGGAAGGTGGTGTGACATACTACCATCTCACAAGGGCAGCGGTTTTCTCTTGTCTTGACCACAAAGGCCACTGGCTAGTGGATGCTTACAGAGCATATGTAAACCAGAGCCGCACAGAGCACCTGAAGTACTGACTCCAAGCCTCTCCCTCCTCCCACCATTCTGTCCTTTGACCCGAAAACCACAGGGAATCTTGAATTTTGTTTTCTCTTTTTTTTCCCTCCCTCCCTCCCTCCCTCCCTCCCTCCCTCCCTCCCTCCCTCCCTCCCTCCCTCCCTCCCTCCCTCCCTCCCTCCCTCCCTCCCTCCCTCCCTCCCTCCCTCTCTCCCTCCCTCCCTCCCTCCTTCCCTCCCTCCTTCCCTTCCTCCCTTTCTTTCTTCCTTCTTCCCTCCCTCTTTCTTTCTTTCTTTCTTTCTTTCTTTCTTTCTTTCTTTCTTTCTTTCTTTCTCTTTCCTTCCTTCCTCACTTCCTCCCTCCTCTGTCCCTCCTCCCTTTTCTCCTGTAAGTTCTGTGAATGCAGATGAAGACAGGCCTCTCTGCTGTTCTTATCACTTACTCTCTATTCCCACACCTCAGCAGACAGGGCTCTATCTGTCTGCCTTTGGAGTCAGGTTCACGTCCTGTGTTGGTCTTGGCTCAAACACTGATTTAGATTTATTTCAGTATCTCCTCTTTCCTTTGTATTCTACTCAACACTGAGCCTAGAATTTGGTGAACAGGAGGCTTTTAAGGGCTTGTTTGCCTGATGGATTACCCCTTTGGCACCAAGGCCTGTCTCTACTTAACATGTTACCAACATGCCAGATGCTGGCAAGTCGGTACCTAGAGGGAGCCATGGAAACACTGCACTGTGCTGGCGAAGTATCCGGTGTCAGCTAGTGTCTTTTGTATGGATCCTACCTAAGATGTGCACAGTGAGATTGTTCTAGGAGATGATGTGGGCAAACTGAAGATTGGAAAGTCTAACTTCCATCATGCAGAATTTAGGCCTAAGTCCAGCAAGCCAAGCCTCAACAGCCATTAGCTTTTAAAGACACATTTTATATTTAATGTGTGTATGTGTGTGTGTGTGTGTGTGTGTGGAAGGGGTGTGGTATGCATGTGAACACAGGTACCTGCAGAAGCCAGAAAAGGGCATGAGATCTCCCGGAGCTGCAGTTACAGGTGACTGTAAGCTGCCCAACATGAAAGCGAGGAGCTGAACTTGGCTCTTCTGTAAGAACAGCATTCACCTTTAACCCCTGCGTCATCTCTGCAGCCCCTGACCCAGATATATTTCCTCTCACTATGTCTCGCTCTCTCCCCCGCCCCTCTATTCTTCTCCTCTTCCATCTCATGCTGGACCTGAACTGGTGATCCGCTTGCTCCAGCCTCTTGCACGTGAACAAACAGTACTTTACTCAAAGGGAAACAATGACCTCCAGCCAAACCACAGGATGGGCAGTGGATGAGCGCAGTGAAGCAGGCAGGACGTTTTAATGGAAAAGTGCGTGAGTCTGCTGGGGTCCAGGGCTCTGTGAGATAATGTGGCTTAGGGGCCGAGAATTAGACTCAGTAGAGTGGTCTAGCTTCAGGAAGAAGTAGGTCCCCACCTACCCTGGCCGAGCCTCATCTGTAAAGCAATGGATGGACAGGTTCCAGTGTATGCTGTGTTTTGATAATGGTGCCGACAAGCTGAGCTTGTCCAGTGTGGGTGTTTAAAACAGCTAAGGAGGAACAGTGCAGAACGGGGACCCTTTGGTTTGGAGGAGATTTTGTGTAAGGTGTGTGATGGAACTTTTAAATACTCAAGGTCATTGTGCAGTTTGTGTCTCCCTGGTTCTGGTTAGCAGCAGAGGGCAGCAGGAAGCTGAGGGATGCAGGGAAGGGACAATGTGAAGGGAGCCTATTCTGATTCCCTCCTGGGTTGGGGAAGGAGGGCAGAACAGCGTACTGAGTGTTGGTCAGCAAACTCATGCCACACAAGCAGGCGGGAAGCCCTGTCCAGCTTGTTCCCAGCAGTGGCACACCTGTTGTGGAGACATGACTTCTTTGCCACTGGGATTGTTCGCAAAGGAGCTGGGATATCACCAACCAGGGATTCCAGGGGTTAAGTCGAGTCAGAGGACTCTTTTGAGACATGTGTCTGTCGGCCAGTTTTATCTTAAAATATGTTCCGGATTGAACCGGTTACCACTTGAAGTATTGTGTTCCATCTGCTGGTCTGTGCCCTGATTGCTTCCTTAGGTCTCTCTCTGGTGCACCTGCTTGTGGCCTATTTGATGTGGTCTCTGGAATGATGCCTGAGATGTCCAAATACGTCGCTTCTGTCCCTAACCTTGGATGTCTCCTCATTTCTCTTGAGGTTAAGGGAAACCTCATGTGCTTGGCGCCCTGCCCCCACTCACACACACCATCTGTGCTCCCATTGGTCCTTCATTCTGGCTTCTTTTTTGCTCACTTGCTCTTCTCTAGCTAGCCTGGTTTCCACTGCATCCTCCAGCATCTTGGGGAATGCATCAGGACTTGCACTCAATGTCCTCGACCTAGAGGGCTCTTCCCCGAGACGTCACCTTCTCCAAGTCTCTGTTCTGGTGCCCCTTCCCCAGGGAGGCCTTTCTTGACCACCCTTCTGAAGGCAGCAACTCCCTCCAATGTTTCCTACTTCCTTTGTTTTTCTTCTTAACAGACATCAACCCAATATGCGTGGAAGTCTATGCATATGTATTTTCTACTGTACGGCTTTACTTTTTGCAGTGCTGGGACTGAACTGAAGTCTTAGGCTAGGCAAATGCTCTCTGACTGACTATAGTCCCAGTCCTATTCCTACCCCCTCTTATTTTGAGACAGGTACAAATGATTCTCCTGCCTCAGCTTCCTGAACACTGGGATTTTGGGTGTGCTTCACCGTGCCCAGATCCGCAGGTATCCGATGCTGTGTAGTGATACCTAGACTAGAATGGAAGCGGCACGAGGGGACAGGATGCTGTCATTTGGTCACGATAACGCATCCTCGGCTCCCTGAGTAGCACCAGACATTGTAAACCCTCAGTAAATGGATGCTTGTGGTCTGCCAGGGTCTGTGCTTGTCTCATTGAAGACCACAACCCCCAGAATGCAACAGTGTTGGAGAGGCCACAGGATGCCAGGGTAGGGAGAGTTGGCATGGCTCGTTGGCCTAGTGGACTTATTTCCCCTGTCCCTCTGTCCCTCTTTCATTTTCTCCCTTATCCCTCCCTCCCTCTCTTTTTCCTTCCTTTTCTTTTCTGATTTCAGTTAGCCATACACACTTCAATCTGAGATCCTTACTGTTTGGAAGCCCTGTCAGTCAGTCATGACCACCAGGTTTGGATCCAGGGCCTCCTTCTTTCTTGGACTTTTCTCTCTCTAGCCCTCCCCTTGCTCTCTGGTCCTGACCTGTTATTGCCTCCTGCTGAAGGGGTGAGGTGTGGGCACAGGGTTCGGAACAGACAGGGCCAGGTGGGCTCCTAAGCTTGGGTAGATAGGAAGCTCGCCAGTAACCTTCCTCTTCTCTTCTTGCCCTGTCTTGTTGCTTCTCTGCTCCCCCACTCTTGACCCCTGGGTCCCAGCAGGAAATTTCAAGGGAAGTTACATTTGATGAAAATAGAAAATATCTCCCTATCCTGATATTGTGTAATTTCAGGCTTCTCGGTCTGGAAGAAGGAACATTGGAGTCTGTGCTCTACAGGCTGACTCTTGGAAAACAGCAGGCAGGGACTTTGCTCATGATCTGCATCCTTTAGCCTGACCCGCAATTCCTGTAGGGACGGAACTGGGGTGTCTGGATGCTCCCATCACTGTCACTACACCCCTACTTTCCCCAGGGCTTTGTTGAAGTGAAAGCTTACCGCTTGGTCTAGGAGTCCGTTTTCATCAGAGTCGTAGAGACGAAACATGACTGCAAGAAACACACAGGTTAGGCCCAAGGTGCCTTCCAGGAATCAGCATGGTTGATGTTCTACTACGCCCATTTTTAGCCTAGATCTTGGCAACATTGGGGCATGGGCCGTTACAGCCAGGAGCCCTCTAAGGGACAGCTTATGGCTTCCTTAGGGAAGAGGTGAAGCAAGGGAGAAGAGTGAAGGCCCCTGGGTTTTGGACCCTTTTGAGCAGCGACTCTGTGGCACATGAGATCCAGGTCACTGGAGAGCATGCATGTCTCTTGGTGTCACCTGGACACAACTTAAAAACCCAGCGGCTGGGCGGGCGGAGGCACCAAAATTAGAGCGGGACTTTTGCCTCCACTGCGCACAGACGGGTGCAGAGTCAGGCACGCTGGCATCTTGGTGTGCATGACCACATCTGGGATAGCAAGGAAGTTATTCTCCTTCTGGGGTCAGTCACTATCCATAAGATGGAAACTGTAGTATTTCTTTGATGTGGGAGTGATTTCTTATTAATAAAGAAACTGCCTAGGCCCCTTGATAGGCCAACTCTTAGGTGGGTGGAGAAAACAGAAGAGAATTCTGGGAGAAAGAAGCTTAGTGGAAGGGTCACCATGATTCTCCCGCTCCAGACAGACGCAGGTTAAGATCCTCCCTGGTAAGCCAGCTTGTGGGCTACACAGAATATTAGAAATGGGTTAGAACAATATGTAAGAGCTAGCCAATAAGAAGCTGGAACTAGCCGGGCCAGGCAGTGTTTGAAAGAATACAGTTTCCGTGTAATTATTTCGGGGCATAAGCTAGCCATGTGGGTGGCCGGGTGCCGGGGACGCAGCCCTGCCGCTCATATTTCAACAGATGGCACCCAGACGTGATGGGCTAAATCCACTTAAAAACCTGGGAGAGCTTAATTTAAAACAGGAAAAACAGAGTTTAACGCAGAGTTTTGCTGTTTGTTGATGGTGTGCCGTAGAGAGATTTCCTGATTCAGCAACAGCAGCAGAAAAAAAGCTGCGTCATTTTAAAGCGCTGCTTCCTGGGGCTATGCTGCCAGCGTGA